AATTGCACAAATATCTCATATTTTAGGGTATTTTACACAGTCTAAATATAATTAAGGCTAACTAAAATAAAATTAGCAAAGTTCTATTGATTGATTTCTTCATTAAAATATGTTATTGTACCTTAAACAAAGTTATGTAATCCACATGAAAAGCTGAATAATCAAATACAGAAGTTCTTTCTAATCTAAAAGTATGCAGACTGTACTTCAAAATACCTGCTTGATATAAATCCCACTCCTGGAGAACAGATCCACCAACTCTGGATGATGTTTGCTATTCTGACTTCCATGACCCAGGGTAAAATTTGTATTATCGCCCCAAGTATAAACATCTGCAGGATCTAAAATAAAAATTAGTTTTTACACTTTTTATATTTTAAAACAAATATAAGAACTAATTTAACTATAATATTTAGAATATGCCAACACTCTTCTTTAAATGATTCTATTAATATGTTATTAGATAATTCCAGAAATAAAAAATCTAAATCTGTCTCAATGCAAGCAATAAAAATATTTGTTATTTGTCCCTGGCTTTTTTTTTAATTGTTGAGACAAGGTCTCACTATGTTGCCCAGGCTGGTCTTGACCTCCTGGGCTCAAGTAATCCTCCTACTTTGGCCCCGCTAAGTGCCAGGATTACAGGCATGAGCCACTCAGCCCAGGCTGTTCCTTGTTTCCTTAGCAGCTAAAGTTTAACTGCCCAATGAGTAAAAATACCACCTGCCATATCTACTTAGTTTCCATAAAAATAATATATATAACTATATCAAATGTAAGATATTATTAATCCATACATACAAAGGTTCTAAATGTAGCAAATGTGATATTACTGTTTGTACAGGAACACTAACTTTCAATACTTCGTATTTCATAGACACAAAATCACACTAGTGATTAGGGTGATGCCCATTAAACTGGAAAAAAATCACAGCTAAGTTCATGATATAAATCTTCATTTTTATTTTAGAAGATAAATAAAGTCCTAGAATGGAATTATCACTGTTACCTGCAACGCAGTATTCAGGGTAGAAGTAAAAATACAGAACGTGCCCTTACTTAGGTTGCTCACTAGTTAAATGCAAACTATATAGTGCTCCAAATAAATCTTTTCTTTTCTGCCAAATCCCACTTCCAAATCTCAAAGAGCAAACAAACTGGAAGGATAAGTGAAACTGAGAATGTGTGAATAAAAGAGTAATTGGGGCCAGATGTGGTGGCTCTTGGCTGTAATCCGAGCACTTTGGGCGGCTGAGGCAGGCAGATCAAGAAGTCAGGAGTTCAAGACCAGCCTGGCCAATACGGTGAAAATTGTCTCTACCGATAATACAAAAAAATACTAACCTCACGTGGTGGCAGGCACCTGTAGTCCCAGATACTCAGGAGGCTGAGGCAGAAAAATCACTGAACCTGGGAGGCAGGGGTTGTAGTGAACCGAAATCAAACCACTGCACTCCAGCCTGCGCTACAGAGTGAGACTCTGTCTTAAAAAAAAAAAAAATTGGCTGGGCACAGTGACTCACACCTGTATTCCCAGCACTTTGGGAGGCTGAGGCAGGAGGATCACTTGAGTCCAGGAGTTCCAGATCAGCCTGGTCAACATGGCAGAACCTCATCTCCATAAAAAATACAAAAATTAACTGGGCATGCTGGAACGTGTCTGTATTCCCAGCTTCTTGAGGGGCTGGAGCGAGAGGATGGCTTAAGCTCAGAAGGTTGAGGCTGCAATGAGCCATGTTTGTGCCACTGTATTCCAGCCTGATGGACAAAGCAAGATCCTATCTCAACAACAACAAAAATAATAATTTCCAGAGACCCTACTCAACAACAACAAAAAGAATACTAACTTCCATTCCTTTTTCCCTCTACCTCAAATGCTGATGTTACTTTCTGGATATATGTTAATTACTTTACAGTAGTTACAATTTTAACAGTCTTCTCATTTTAGATTGTACTTTTATAGATATAAATATGGACTGAAATTTTAAAATAAAAGTGTTCTGAATATGAAACAAAAAATATCCAACATAGACCAAAGTAAAATATCTTGGCAGAAATCCACACTAAATAAATCTTCCCCACCACTTTAATAAGAATAAAATTTCATTAATAATTTCTGAGCTAAGCTGTACCCTAATGGAATACCTCTGTAAAATCTTTTTTTTTTTTAATTTTTGAGACAGTCTTGCTCTGTCACCCAGGCTGGAGTGCATGATCTTGGCTCACTGCAACCTCTGCCTCCTAGGTTCAAGCGATTTTCCTGCCTCAGCCTCCCAAGTAGCTAGGATTACAGGTGTCCACCATGACACCTGGCTAATTTTTGCATTTTCAGTAGAGAAGGGGTTTTACCATGTAGGTCAGGCTGGTCTCGAACTCATGACCTGAAGAGATCCGCCCACCTCAGCCTACCAAAGTGCTGGGATTACAGGTGTGAGCCACCATGTCTGGCCCATTTGTCAAATTTTCTTACCAGTATTCTTGAATACTACATGAGTTGGTCTGTCCTTCATTACAAGATCCAAAGCTGACAAGCCTTCTTTATCTTGAATATACAGACTAACACCATGCTAAAACAAAAAAAGAAAAAAAAAAACATACATAAATATATATATTTTACCATTTCCCTATAATCAGTAACTTCCTATTCTTATATATCAAAAAAGTCAGATGATCAAGCCCATAAATACACTGAAAAAAAATTAATAACAATTATCTCTCATACTCACATACATTTTTCTTTCACATACTGAAGAGAATAAGAAAAATCAAATATCCAATTCTTGCTGGAATAAGGAAGGACCAGAAATGTAAAGAAATAAAAAAGGTAAATTTTAAATAAAAATTAACTGCATGTGAACATTTTTGATAGTAAAGCAGGTCTGATGCCTACAAGTCCCTAGTTCTGGGTCTGTGTCTGTGTGGGAGTGCATGTGTACATAAACATATAACTCTTTTCACATTTAAAGAGCCATACTCAGCTGGGCGCGTGGACTCAAGGCTGTAATCCCAGCACTTCAGGAGGCCAAGGTGGGCAGATCATGAGGTCAGGAGTTTTAGACCAGCCTAGGCAGCACAGTAAAATCCCTTATCTACTAAAAATACAAAAAGTTAGCTGGGCGTGGTAGCAGGCACCTGTAATGCCAGCTATTTGGGAGGCTGAGGCAAGAGAATGACTTGAATCCGGGAAGTGGAGGTTGCAATGAGCCAAGATTGCGCCACTGCACTCCAGCCTGGGCAACAGTGCAAGACTCTGTCTCAAAAAATAAATAAATAAACGAAGCAGAATCTAACTCCTTCAGTACAAATAGAAAATTAAGAAATAAATAATAGAGAGCCATACTTCGCCAGGCATGGTGGCTCATGCTTGTCATCCCAGCACTTTGGGAAGTGGGCAGATAACCTGAGGTCATGCGTTCCACACCAGCCTGGCCAACGTGGTAAAACCCCATCTCTAGTAAAACTACAAAACTTGGCTGGGTGTGGTGGCATGGATTTGAAATCCTAGCTACTCAGGAGGTTCGGGCAGGAGAATCACCTGAAACCAGGAGGAGGAGGTTGCAGTGAGCTGAGTTTGCTCCACTGCACTCCAGCCTGGACAAGAGAGAAACTCCACCTGAATGAATGAATGAATAAATAAATAAATAAAATAAAGAGCCATACTCCATGTCTCTACACACAATAGCTATAAAGATTTCTAGGCAATGGCAGTACAATATTTATATTAGGATTTAATCTTTATAATGCAATCATCCACATCTCATCTCTTTTCATCTTAAATTCTACTATATCTATTACTGATATTAAGAGAATTATATTCTTTCATTTTTTTGTTTTTGAGACAGTCTCGCTCTGTCACCCAAGCTGAAATGCAGTGGTGCAATCTTGGCTCACTGCAATCTCTGCCTCCCAGGTTCAAGTAATTCTCCTGCACCAGCCTCCCAAGTAGGTGGGATTACAGGCGCGTACCACTACACCCGGCTAATTTTTCTTATTTTTGGTAGAGACAGGGTTTGAGCACGTTGGCCAGGCTGGTGTGGAATACCTGACCTCACGTGATCTGTCCATCTCAGCCTCCCAAAGTACTGGGATTACAGGCGTGAGCCACCGTGCCTAGCCATATTCTTTTATTTCTATATGTGTAATATATATTTTCTTATCTGTCTACTTAAATTTTATATCACTGTTTAATTGTGGCCTCCTGTAATTCACATATAGTTAGATTGTATCTAAAATCGAATCTGAGTGTTTCTGTGTTTTATTTAATTGTTATGAGTACATAGTAGGTGTGTCTATGTATGTGTGTTTCAGGAGGAAATTTAAAGTAATTTGTAATTTGTAATACCCACAATTCAAATTCAAACACAAAATGTTTTCTGTCTCACGTAAGGCAGTTAGTACACCCCATCCCTATCAGCACACTTTTGGGTCTTTTTAAACATGATGTAAAAAGAGAGCAATGTTCAATTCAGATTATTGTTATTTCATGATAGTTTTTTAAATATAAAATGAACTCTTTTTCGAGAATAACTTTAAATGTTTGCTTACAGTTTAAGTATCTCAACATTTATTTAGACTTACCCATTTTAACTAGTGTAAGTCATCACTGCCTATACACACATAGTTTACCTAGGTAGTTACAGACTGCGATGAACAATGAAGGTTTTAAATTCTAATGGTAACACGTTGGAATGCGGTGTGGGTTACTTAAGACAAAAGAGATGTGTCCGCCAGTCAGGATATGCATTCTTGCACCCTCCCTCAGCTGGGGGGAGTGGGAGGAGGTGGGAACCGGGGAGGGGTGGGTGTCGCCGAAGGGAAGGAGCGAATGAGCGAACCAGAGAGCGTTGTCCTGAGAGGAGTGACAGCGGCAAAATGGTGGACCGCTTCTCCCGCTTCTAGAGGACCGACACTTCCCGGGTAATCACTTTGATCAATATGAGGAAGGACCCTTGGAAACTGAACAAGCATCACTTGCCAAGCCTATAGAATCGCATCCTGGGACCGACACTTACACAGGCGCTCCAGCCTCCTTCTGCCTCCTGGCTCAAAGATGGCAGCTCTCAAACTCCTCTCCTCCGGGCTTCGGCTCCGTGCCTCTGCCCGCGGATCCAGGGGAGCCTGGTACAAGGGATGTGTTTGCTCCTTTTCCACCAGTGCTCATTGCCATAACATACTAAGTTTTATACAGATCCAGTGGAAGCTGTAAAAGACATCGCTGATGGTGCAACCGTTCTGGTTGGTGGTTTCGGGCTATGTGGAATTCCAGAGAATCTTACAGGTGCTTTACTAAAAACTGGAGTAAAAGGACTAACTGTAGTCAGCAACAATGCAAGGGTTGACTACTTTGGTTTGGGCCTTTTGCTTCGGTCCAATCAGATAAAAGGTATGGTTTCTTCGTGTGGGAGGAAATGCAGAATCTGAATGACAGTACTTATCTAGTGAATTAGAAGTGGAGATGACACCACAGGGCACACTTGCAGAGAGGATCCGTGCAGGTGGGGCTGGAGTTCCTGCATTTTATACCCCCACAGGGTATGGGACCTTAGTAAAAGGAGGATCGCCCATCAAATACAACAAAGATGGCAGTGTTGCCATTGTCAGTATGCCAAGAGAGGTGAGGGAGTTCAATGGTCAGCACTTTTATTTTGGAGGATGCAATTAGAGGGAATTTTGCTTTGGTGAAAGCTTGGAAGGCAGACCAAGCAGGAAACGTGATTTTCAGGAAAAGTGCAAGGAATTTCAACTTGCCAACATGTAAAGCTGCAGAAACCATGGTGGTAGAGGTTGAAGAAATTGTGGATATTGGAGCATTTGCTCCAGAAGACATCCATATTCCACAGATGTATGTACATTGCCTTATAAAGGGAGAAAAATATGAGAAAAGGATTGACCGTTTATCAATCTGGAAAGAGGGAGATGGAGAAGCCAAATCTGCTAAACCTAGAGGTGACGTAAGGGAACGAATCATCAAGAGGGCCACTCTTGAGTTTGACGATGGTATGTATGCTAATTTGGGCATAGGAATCCCTCTCCTGGCCAGCAACTTTATCAGCCCAAATATGACTGTTCATCTTCAAAGTGAAAATGGAGTTCTGGGTTTGGGTCCATATTCATGACAATATGAAGCTGATGAAGATCTAATCAATGCAGACAAGGAAACAGTTACTGTTCTTCCAAGAGCCTCTTTTTTCTCCAGCGATGAATCATTTGCAGTGATTAGAGGGGGACATGTCAATCTGACAATGCTAGGAGCGATACAAGTTTCCAAATATGGTGACCTAGCCAACTGGATGATACCTGGGAAGTTGGTGAAAGGAATGGGAGATGCTATGGATTTAGTGTCCAGTGCCAAAACCAAAGTGGTGGTCACCATGGAGCATTCTGCAAAGGGAAATGCACATAAAATCATGGAGAAATGTACATTACCATTGACTGGAAGGCAATGTGTCAACCAGATTATTACTGAAAAGGCTATGTTTGATGTGGACAAGAAGAAAGGGCTGACTCTGAGCTCTGGGAAGGCCTGACAGTGGATGACATACAGAAGAGTACTGGGTATGATTTTACAGTTTCACCAAAACTCATGCCAATGCAGCGGATCGCAAATTAAAATGTGGACATTGGTACCAGGCTGCGTGTTTTTCATTTTAAAAACACAGGATTTAACTGAAAGGACCTCAATGATTATAATTGTGTATTTAACAAGTGGTTTTTGATTAGTTTTCTTCTAGTGTTTCAGGCTTTATGCAGCCATATAAACTGTTCTCTAGGCATGCTGTGACATTTTAATACAAAGAAAAAGGAGCATTAAAAAAAAAGCATCCTGGGTTCATGCCTGTAATCCCAGGACTTTGGGAGGCTGGGGAGGGAGGATTGCTTGAGCCCAGGAGTTCTAGATCATCCTGGGCACTTAGTGAAACCTTGTCTCTACAAAAAAATTAAAAAATTATCCAGGCATATTGATGTGTGCCCATAGTCCCAGCTACTCGTGAGGCTGAGGTGGGAGGATTGCTTAAGCCCAGGAGGTCAAGGCTGTAGTTAGCTAAAATTTTACCACTTGCCTGGGAAACAGAGCAAGACCCTCTGTCAAAACAAAAAAAAATGTGTCCTGGTTTTCCCCCATCAATGAAATAATCAGCTCCTTAGCCCAGTTTTCCAGGTCGCATGCTGTCATGTTATAATCTCAGCTGCTCAAGAGACTGTGGCAGGAGAATTGCTTGAACTTGCAAGGCAGAGGTTGTAGTGAACCAAGATTGTGCCATTGCACTCCAGCCTGGGCAACAGAGCAAGACTCCATCTCAAAAAAAAAAAAAAGAAATTATGCGAATCATTGTATCTTTACATATGGTCATGCAGGAGCTTATTGTATAAGGGCATCTTCAGGGAGAAGTATGCTACTGTTGACTAATTATTCAAATATTGGAAATGGATTTTCACAGTTTGAATGCCAGTGTCTGATCAATTTAAGTGTGTTGAGAGGAACACAGGGACAGGTATAATGGCTCATGCCTGTAATCCCAGCAATTTGTGAGGTAGAGGCTGGAGGATTGTTTGAGGCCAGGTGTTCAAGACCAGCCTGGGCAACATAGCGAGACCCTGTCTCAATTTTTTAAAAAAGAAAAAATTGATTAATTAAAAAGAGAGAAACCAAGAGGAGAGAGCTAGAAATAGGATTTTCAGTTATTAAAATCTTTACTTTTTAATTTATACTTCTACAAATTCTATTCATTGATGAGATGTGGGAAAGATGCTCAATAAATATATTTTAATGAAAAAAAAAAAGACAAAAGGATCTCCTCCTGCCCCATAGCAACAGATTTCTAATAAACTCTATTCACCCCAAAATAGTAGGTAAATTCATTCATAAGCTTATTCAAAGCATCTAAGTATAAAACAAGTTTATAAGCCTGAACATTTCGTGCCAATGTTCTATAAGGAACAGATGGATTTTACCCAGATAGTCCAGTACAAAACAGTGGTAACCCTATTTGAGATGTCTATCAGGAAATATAGGAAAGTTTTGACTTTCTTCCCCAAAAGCAGAGCATAAAATAAAGACTTGCATGCAGGTAATATCCTTAAGAAGAGATCCTAGGAAGAAGTAGCAAGTGACCAGGAGAGTAAATTAAGGAAAGAGGGAAAATCAATACAATGAAATGTTATCAAGTAGGCAACTAAGGATACTTGTGCATGATCCTGACAGGACATTCTGATAGCCTTATATAGTATATCACAGAATAACTGTACAATTATTGCTCTACAGGGGCCTAACTTTTCTTGTACTTTCAGTTGGCTATGCATGAATGCAAGCACAGAAGCAGAAAATAAGAAGCATATGGTACATGCCAGGAACACATACAGGTTATACCCACACAATGCTGCTAACAGCCTATGCACAACTGGACACTACAGCTGTGGTTAGAATAAGAGATGAAGCCAAGGGGCCGGGTATGGTGGCTCACGCCTGTAATCCCAGCACTTTGGGAGGCCGAGGTGGGCAGATCATGAGGTCAGGAGATTGAGACCATCCTGGCCAACATGGTAAAACCCCATCTCTACTAAAAATAGAAAAAATAGCTGGGTGTGGTGGTGTGTGCCTGTAGTCCCAGCTACTCAGGAGGCTGAGGCAGGAGAATTGCTTGAACATGGAAGGTGGAGATTGCAGTGTGCCGAGATCACACCACTGCACTCCAGCTGGGTGACAGAGCGAGACTCCATCTCAAAAGACAAAAACAAAAAAGCAATGAAGCCAAGATGACATGAAGTGGCCATCTGATGCACCCATCTTTTCAAACTGGTTATGAGCTAAGGTGAATGAACTAAGGTGAATATATCTCTCTGACTACTGTCACCCATATACAGCCAATAAAGTTAGGATCAAAGTAAGTACCTTTGAAGTTCCAAGACACATGTGTAGGATATGCAGGTTTGTTAAACAAGTAAATGTGTGCCATGGCTACACAGGTAAGCGTGTGCACAGCTGCACCTATCAAACCATCACCTAGGTATTAAGCCCAGCATGTATTAGCTACTTTTCCTGATGCTTGCCCTCCCTTAAACCCAGCCCCCCAAAATATCTTGAGACTGCATAATTTCCAGGGGGACAGAAGAGGCTTGTATTCTCCTCTCCTTCTTTCATGTCATCTTTTTTTTTTTTTTTTTTGAGGCAGGGCTTTCCTCTTGTCATCCAGACTAGAGTGCAGTGGCACAATCTCAGCTCACTGCAACCTCCACCTCCCAGGTACAAGTGACTAACCTTTCTCAGCCTCTTGAGTAGCTGGGATTACAGGCATATGCCACCACATCCAGCTAATTTTTATATTTTCAGTAGAGATGGGGTCTCACCATGTTGACCAGGCTGCTCTCGAACTCCTGACCTCAGGTGACTGGCCTACCTCAGTATCCCAAAGAGCTGGGATTACAGGTATGAGTCACCACCCCTGGCCTCAAGTCTATTATTTATAAAGGTTTGATCACACAGTACTCTAATAAAATGGCCAGATGCCCTCCTACTAGAGAAAAAAGAAAAATAAGCATTATTTGATATTCAAATGACACTGTTGTAACATCATAAGGCAGGAATCATTTTAATAGACCACTAGTCTTGCTATTTAATTATCAGGGTTGGGGACTGGGCACAATGGCTCACACCTGTAATCCCAACACTTTGAGAGACCAAGGCAGGTGGATCACCTGAGGTCAGGGGTGTAAGACCAGCCTCACCAACATGGTTAAACCTAATGTCTATTAAAAATACAAAATTACCCAGGCATGGTGGTACATGCCTGTAATCCCAGCTACTTGGGAGGCTGAGGCAGAATAATCACTTGAACCCGGGAGGCAGAGGTTGCAGTGAGCCAAGATCATGCCATTGCACTCCAGCCTGGGCAACAAGAATGAAATACCATCTCAAAAAAAAAAAAAAAAATTAAGTTATCCAGGGAAGTAGGGACACAAAATTTTAATTGTTTATTATATTTAGTTTATACTTACTCTATTTTAGTTTGAGGAATATTTTCTTACTTATAATTTACAGTTCATTGTTTATGGCCTGTTTCTCTATTCTGTGAGGTATCTGATACCCCTTCAATAGCTTTTGTTTATGTTACCATAGGTGGTTACCATGGCATGCAAAAAGAACTCTAATACATCAACATTTATTAAGCATTTTCCTATTTGTTCATTACTTTTTTTTTAAGACAGAGTCTTGTTCTGTTGCCCAGGCTGAAGTGCAGTGACACGACCTTGGCACTACAACCTCCACCTCCTTCTGGGTTCAAGCAATTCTCCTGCCTCAGCCTCCGTAGTAGCTGGGATTACAGGCATGTACCACTACACCTGGCTACATTTTGTATTTTTAGTAGATATGAGGGTTTGCCATGTTAGCCAGGCTGGTCTCGAACTCCTGACCTCAAGCGATCTGTCCACGTTGGCCTCCCAAAGTGCTAGAATTACAGGTGTGAGCCACTATTCCCAGCCATTGTGGTTTTGGTTTATCTCCCCCTCGTAGAATACAATCTTAAACAAAGAAGGGATTCTGTCTTGTTCATTGCAACATCCCTAGCACCTGGATTACTGCCTGGCACATATCAGGCACTCAAAAAATATTTGTTTCAAATGCTTCACAGACAGTATATCATTTAATCTATATAACCTAGGATTCTGTTAAGTCTTCTGTTTACAAATGGAAAAAACTAAAGCAAGTTATTCCAGAATAATAAGTAAACCACCAGTATAAAAGAGCAATGGTATAGCAACAACAGATACAGCAGGACCCCACAAGCATAAACAGTCTTTACCACCCATGCATCCTGTCATGGAATCTAGAAGCCAAAAAAAAGAGCTGCACAAGATAAAATGTCTCTATTCCAGCTTTTTGTAGGCAACAAGTTTCTGTTAAGGTTTTATATCTTTGGCAATCAGGAACTGACAATTTTACTGTGCAATTTAGAAATGTTATAGCTGTAAAGTTTTATCAGATGCAAATTCAGTTAAAATGTGTGTAGTTTCTTCCTGATAATCCGTAATACCTGAAGTGCTACAGCCGGCATAAGAGATCGAACTGACATGAAAACACCTATCACTGCACCCCTTCCAATTCAAGAAGTGTTAGGTCAAAGGAAAAAAACTATGCTGAACAAAAACAGTCTACCAACACGAGAATGCTGAATGGTCAAAAGAGGATTTAGGGGAAAACTATCAGTAGAATTCATCCACTGTTATATAGCTATCACTGATCAGCAGAGCTCTGATGCTAATAAGACAGTCAAGCTAAGGGCAAGGTGGCCAAGGCACAATTCCCTGGCTTCTATGAGCCAAGGTGGTTAGAGTGATTTGAGGATTTCCACAGGGCAATAAAATCCCGAAGGGAGGAAAGGACCAAAATTCAGTCCAGACCGTAACTATTTCAAACTGTAGCCCTAAATGCTAACACCTGAATGGCAACCCCTAGGATGGCAGGAAACCCAAACCCAGGGACCTTCTCAAGCTCAACAGGGTTGGCAGTCATCCAGCTTTCCAGCAGAAACTGAAAACAACAAAGCCAAGGTTTCACAGATGGAAAAAGGTAAGAATGGAGGTGACAGATGCTTTAACTCTTACTAACCTAGCTTTCCCTTATAATTGCAATAAGGGAACTAAACAGATGCCACAAGGTTTCAGATATAAGAGAAATCAACTCTACCATTAACAAACTTAGAAATGCTTTTCTTCATGGATAGTCCCTGGGGGAAAAAAGCAAGAAAAGTACTATTATTATTCTCTTTTTATAGATAAAACTGAGATTCAAGATTCAATAATTTGTCCAAC